CTCTCCCTCTTCCAGCTGCTCCTTAGCCCCCTGGATTGAACCCTGGCTGGAGCTAGGTAGCAGGTCAGCCCTTCTCAGATGAGGTCAGCAACATTAAGGTGCATCTTTTCAATGGAGGTGGTATAGAAGGTCACGATGTCTCGGAGTGTCCTCTTGTCTTCTTCTGTCACCATGTTAATAGCCACACCTTTATGGCCAAAATGCTCACCTCCACTAATTCTGTGGATATAGTTTTCCCTGTTGGTAGGAAGGTCATAGTTGATGACTAAAGAAACTTGCTGTATATCAATGCCTCTGGCCAGTAAGTCAGTGGTAATGAATACTCTGCTARAGCCAGATCAGAACTCCTCATGATCACATCTCTTTCCTTTTGGTCCATGTCTCCATGCATGGCAGAGACAGTAAAATCTCAGGCATGCATCTTCTCAGTGAGCCAATTAACCTTCCTTCGGGTGTTGATGAAGATCACTGCCTAGGTAATGGTCAGGGTTTCATACAAGTCACACAGTGTGTCCAGCTTCCCCTTCTCTCATTCGACATTGATGTAGAACTGGCTGATACTCTCCAGACTCAACTCTTTCTTCTTGACAAGAATTCAAATGGGGTCCCTCATGAACTTCTTGGTCACCTCAAGCACATCAGAAGGCATTGTTGCTGACAACAAAACCACCTGGGTATTGCTGTTGAGCTTCTGGAATATGTCGTAGATCCGGTCCTTGAATCAACGGCTTACCATTTCATCAGCTTCAATTAATACAAACATCTTAATGCATTTGGGAGACAGGTATCTCCGGTTGAGCATATCAAACACGCAGCCAGGGGTACCCACAATGATATGGGGAATTTCCATCTGCAACTTTTGCACCTCAGCACGTACATTGGTGCCCCCAGTGCATGAATGACTGGAGGCACCCATGTAATCTCCTAGTGCCATGACCACCTTTTGTATCTGCTGAGTCAATTCTCGAATGGATGCCAGTACCAAGGCTTGGGTGGCCTTTACATCTAATTCAGTCTGCTGGAGAATTGATATGGCAAATGTAGCTGTTTCCCAGTCCCAGATTGGGCCTTAGCAATCACATCATAACCCTTGATACAAGGAAGAATGGCTCGCTGCTGGATGGCAGAGGACTTCTCAAAACCATAGGCGTAGATGCCACGGAGGAGGGACTCGGAGAGATTCATGTCATCAAAGCTATCAACAATCTCATTCCAGTTACTTTCGATGACAACTTCAGGCTCTATTCCAACAGGGCCATTGTTTCTGGATCMGGAATCCTGACTCGCAGATATGATCCTTAGAAACTAGCTTTTTTTTTTTTTGGATTGCTTGTGCTTTAGGTGTCATATTTAAGAAACTATTGCCTAATCCAAGGTCACAAAGATTTACACCTTTTCAATTTGAGTTAATTTTTGTGTGTGGCATAAGGAAAAGTTCTGATTTTATTTATTTATTTATTTATTTTGGTACCAGGAATTGAACTGAGGGGTGCTTAACCACTGAGCCACATCCACAGCCCCTTTTATATTTTATTTAGAGATGGTCTCGCTGAGTTGCTTTTAGGACTTTGATAAATTACTGAGACTGGCTTTGAACTTGGCATCTTCATGCCACAACCTCACGAGCTGCTGGAATTACTAACAGGCATGTACCACCATGTCCAATTCTGATTTCATTTTTTTACATATAGATATCTAGTTGTTCCAGCAGCATTTGGTGAGAATGTTTTTTTTTCCCCTCCACTGAATTGTCTTGACATCTTTTGTAGTATCAGTTTGTCATTGTTTATTTTCAGAGTCTTCGATCTGTTTCATTCATTTATACTATGCTCTCTTGATTACCGTAGCTTGTAGTATGTTTTGAAATCAGGAATTGTGAGTTTTCCAACTTGTTTTGGCTATTTGGGTTCCTTGCATTTCTGTATAAACTTTAGGATAAATTTGTCAATTTCTGCACAAAAAGCAAATGAGATTTTCATAGGGATTGCATTGAATCTATAATTTCTTTTCTTTTTTGGTACTAGGAATTGAACACAGGGGTGCTTAACCACTGAGCCACATCCCCAGTCCTTTTTTAATTTTTTTGAGACAGGGTCTG